TTAATTAATTAATTAGTTAAAAAGCTTTAGTTAATCTGAGGCTTTTAAAGTACAAGTAAAGGCAATTGTTTATTTTTACTCATAAAGTTTATTAATTTCTTTAAAATAAAACAAATTCTTTATACAAAAACTTTAATCTACTTTAACTTGACTCTGATAATAAGTGTTTTATGAATAACTGTAAAATAAATAAATATATGTCCTGATTTAAAAATAATATATTTAATGTTTCTTTAAAGTAAAAGCCTTTAAATTCTCAGAAGTTGTTGTGTTTTTGTAAATTTAAATAAAGTTTTGTGTCTTTCAGCTGCGGGAGCTGCGTCTGGAGGTGGAGGAGCTGCAGAGCTCCAGGCTGCAGGAGGACGTCGTGTCGAGAGCCGAGAGTCGCGTCAAAGACCTGGAGAACGCCCTGCGGACCGAGGAGAGGTCCGACCTTTGACCTCACGCTTTTATTCAAATAAAGTCCTTTATTTTCTTTAAATTGTATTTAGTTTAAGTTGTATTTAGTTTAAAGTGTATTTTGTGCTCAGGAACAAGCTGAGCCTGATGAACACGGTCAGTAAGCTGGAGCGGAGGATCAACGAGCTCAGTGACCAGATGGAGGAGGAGCACCGCATCACCACCGAGCAGAAAGAGCTGGTACCAGACTCACGTCCTTATTAGGACTTCCTGTCACTTCTCAGACCCAAACCTTTACCAGAACTGCTGGTCCTGTGAGGGTCCGGCTCTGGAGAGAGGACCAGGTCTTTAGTRGTCCTCAGAGGTTTTTGTTTTGTGTCACAACTTGAACAACAAACATTTGGTTTTAATTTGATGATTAAATTAGAAAAACCTGGTTTGTCCACAAGAGGGCAGCAGAGCTCTGACCTGAAACCAACACCAGGAAGAAGAAATAAGTTTTATTCATTTATTTATTGGTTTTATTTTAGTTTATTAAAAACTTATTTGACATAAAAACTCATTAAAATGATAATAAATTGAAAGAAAGTTCTGAGCTGCGCTCTGATTGGTCGTTGCAGATGAACCAGAGGATCCGCTCGYTGAAGCGTCAGCTGAACGAGGTGGAGGAGGAGGCCAGCAGGAAGGAGGCGCAGTGCCGCCACACGCAGAGGGAGCTGGCCGAGGAGCGGGAGACCAGCAGCCGCCTGCAGAGGCAGCTGCTGGACCAGCACCTGCAGAGCAAGTACGACCCGGGTCCGCCTGTTGGCCAAATACCACCTGATCCGGACGGTTCTGACCCGCTTCTGTGTCCCTGACAGGCGGAAGGAGAACCTGACCATCCGGCAGACGCTGGACAACCTGCGGCTGGACCTGAGCGCAGAGGAAGATGATGATGATGATGATGATGATGATGATCAGCCGCAGGAACAAACAAACTCCACGGTCACCAAAGTTTAACAGGCTCCGCCCACCTGGAGGAAACCTGTGGGAATCTGCTGGAGCCAAGAGAAACACCAGGAAACTGTTTCCTGTAGCGGCTCAACTCGGCCTTTCACAATAAGAGCGTGAACCACTGGTTAGCTTTAGTTMAACAGAAACGTGTGGATTCATCAGATTTACACGTCAGGCTGGGTTTTTCTGCGAGTCGAGAAACACGGATCTGTTGAAACTGATGTTTGTTTCGTCATTAAGTTTAAAATGCTGATAAATGTTAACTCCCTCTAGTGGTGAACAGGTGGAACTGCTGGTTCTGTGTTTTAAACAGGTTCTATGAGGGCAAAAGTTTTAAGCCTTTCATTTATCCTCAGTATTTGTTTGGTCATTTTACAGGGTAAGAAAACAAACTGATAGTAGCTGTTAGTTTTAACTCTGGGGAATCTTTAAAAAAACACAACAAAAAACAGTTTATTAAACCAGAAACATCACTAAATGTTTATTTATACATTGTTTTTGTGATTTTAAATGTGTAGGAAGCTAATTTGAAATGTATTTAAGGTGGTTTGCTGCTGTCAGGTTGTGCCTTCTGCAGGAAGTGAAACTAAAACTTTTAACTCTGTTAGTTTTTATTCATGTAAATATTCTGATTTTAATCTGCTGCTCGAAGGAATCGGATCATTTAACAGAACATGTTCGTCACGTTTACATTTGCTGCTTTAGCCTTTTTTAAGTGAGCATCACTAAATATAAAGCTGATTTCTACAGGTTTATTGTATCGTTTAACTTCTTAAAACAAAAAAAGAAGCGGGTTCCAAGTATTTTTTTAAACTGCCATTTTTACTGTTCTCAGCTTCACTCTACTGGGTATTTATTGTTCCTCACTTTGGTGTAACCTACAAATAAAAGTTTTATCAGTCTTAACGCTTCGGTTTTCATTTGTTGTTTTCACATCCCAACAAAGAACAACACAAACTAAACAACACAAAATAAACAACACAAACTAGAATTAAAAATATACTTAAAACAACACAGAGCAGTGTGGTTTTGGTCCTGGTCGTGGAACAGTGGACCAGCTCTACACCCTCAGCAGGGTCCTGGAGGGGTCAAAGTTCAACCAACCAGTCGACATGAGGTTGTGGACTTGGAGAAGGCGTTCGACCGTGTCCCAAGGGCGGCCTTGTGGGGGGTTCTCTGGGAGTATGGGGTACCGGGCCCGTTCATTCGGGCTGTCAGGTCGGTGCCAGAAGTTGTTCAAAACAACATAAAATACCATGTACTATAGTAAGTCCTGGTCGTGGAACACTGGACCAGGTCTACACCCTCAGCAGGGTCCTGGAGGGTGCATGGGAGTTCGCCCAACCTGTCTACATGTGTTTTGTGGACTTGGAGAAGGCGTTCGACCGTGTCCCAATGGGGGCCTTGTGGGGGGTTCTCCGGGAGTATGGGGTACCGGGCCACTTGATACGGGCTGTCAGGTCCTTGTACGACTGGTGTCAGAGTCTGGTTCGCATTGCCGGCAGTAAGTCGGGCTCGTTTCCGGTGAGAGTTGGACTCCGCCAAGGCTGCCCTTTGTCACCGATTCTGTTCATTACTTTTGCGGATGATGTGGTCCTGTTGGCTTCATCGGAACGAGATCTGCAGCTCTCGCTGGAGCGGTTCGCGGC